CCTGTACAGCATTCACAATCTTTTCCTCAGTTATTATTAAGATAATAAATACTAAAAACGAAGATGTGCAAGAATATTATCCTATCAAATTAACTGTCTTAAAGCATGATTATCATACAGCTTAAGTTCTCTAGTCACCCTTCCCAAGGGAAGAATGATTTCTTGCTCTCCATAATGTCTCCCACTTACCAGATTAATATCTTACTTAGCTTCATTCTCACCTATCATTTGAAACCATGAGTGATATATACAGCAGCTCTTGCTAAAAGCACTTTCCAATCTTCAAATCGTTCTTCAGAAAACTTCACAAATGGAAAACAATTGAATCAATGTCAAGGCAGATTTAGTTTTACAAGGATGAACAAATAATTCCATTATTTCTTTTTGGCCTACCATGCTACCAGAGAAAGCAGCTCAGAAGATTTCAACACGTTTTCTAGTTCACACAATTTATTTCAGCTACTGACTACAACTTTATCATATTTAAATGTAGTAATTGTACCGTGGCCTCAAACAATATGATACAAAATTTAACTTCACTTAATTCTGGTCTAGGTTAAAGTGGACACTGATCTATTGTGTAGTAATAATTTCACAGAAGAACATGAAACTGTATCAGTAAACCTGACTCAATATACTCCAGAACTTATATCACAAAGACATTAGAGTTCTCCTACATAGTAATAAAAAGGTCAGAAAACGCTATATTGAAAAAAGCAGTTTATTACCTCTTTCTTACAGAAGCATACTTCCCAAGTCCACTGTTTTGGTGACAGGTTGCCACATTCATAAATGACTCACAGTTCCATATTTTTAAATCAATTGTACAGTACTAGAGTTGCGAAATATAGTAGCACAAAGAAAAGTGCTTTCAGACTGCACAACCGAATAATTATCTCTAAACTTCCCATTTAACCAGACAAGCTCTGATCTTGTTCTGTCATAAATTGCCATTTTTTAAAGGGTCATGAGCTCTTGGTGTGGAAAAATAGTGAAGTGACACAAGATCTGCCATTCTGTCACACAGAGCTCCATCCCACTCCAAAGCACCAGATTCTTAGATGACTACTCAATTCCTCACCAAGTTGTTACAAACTGTAGGAATTTTTTTTTCCCTACGCAAAAATTGGCACTGCGTTGTGACTATACAAGGGTTGACCCTGATGACACATGTTTCTCTTCTGTTTGGGAATACAGACAAGGGTCAGTGTGACCTTCAAGTAACATCTAAGAACTCTGCAAAAGGAGAGTGCGTATATATATAGGTCTACAGCATATAAAATAAAGGTTGAAAAAACATTTGTTTTTATGGTTACCATTAGAATGGAGATGTTAGAGCAATCCCTGTACAGCATTCACAATCTTTTCCTCAGTTATTATTAAGATAATAAATACTAAAAACGAAGATGTGCAAGAATATTATCCTATCAAATTAACTGTCTTAAAGCATGATTATCATACAGCTTAAGTTCTCTAGTCACCCTTCCCAAGGGAAGAATGATTTCTTGCTCTCCATAATGTCTCCCACTTACCAGATTAATATCTTACTTAGCTTCATTCTCACCCCTTCTGTTCCCTTACCACTCCTCAAAAGGTATTAAAATGAAACAAGATTCACAGTGAAAAAAAAAAAAATACATGCTCTGAAACACCCTGAAATGTAAGGAAAATGTTCAGTCTGGAGAAGAGGAGGCTGAGGGGAGACCTTATGGTGCTCTATAACTACCTGAAGGGGGGGTGTAGAGAAGCAGGGTCTCATCTCCCAAGTCACAGGAGATAGGACAAGGGGAAATGGCCTCAAGTTGTGCCAGGGGAGGTTTAGATTGGATATTAGGAAAAATTTCTTCACGGAAAGGGTTATCCAGCATTGGAATGGGCTGCCCAGGGAAGTGGTTGAGGCACCATCCCTGGAGGTGTTCAAAAGACAGGTAGACATGGTCCTCAGGAATATGGTTTAGTAATTTTTATTCTCTATTTCTTATTTATTTTTTTGTCAGAGTTAGGTTGATGGTTGGACTAGATGATCTTTAAGGTCCCTTCCAACCTAGACGAGTCTATGATTCTATGAAAACACTGCAACAGTACTTGCTAGAAAGCAGTACACAAGTGGGGCAATTTGCACCATATAGCTTGACATGTCCTAAGAAACTTGGAATTTTTGCAACATTTGAAAATTGTCAATAGAGTTATTGTCAGCAGGCAGTACTTACCACAACACAGAACCACAGGTTTTTAATAAACATTAGAAGGACATGAGCAGGCAGTGTGCAGCTGCAGCCCAGCTGCAGCCCAGAAGGCCAATCGCATCCTGGGCTGCATCAAAAGAAGTGTTGCCAGCAGGTCCAGAGAGGTGATTCTGCCACTTTGCTCTGCCCTGGTGAGACCTCACCTGGAGTATTGTGTGCAGGTCTGGAGCCCTCAATATAAGAAGGACATGGACCTGATGGAGAGGGTCCAGAGGAGGGCCACAAGGATGATCAGGGGGATGGAGCACCTCTGCTACGAGGACAGGCTGAGGGAGCTGGGGGTGTTTCAGCCTGGAGAAGAGGAGGCTCCGGGGAGACCTAATAGCAGCCTTCCAGTACCTGAAGGGAGCCTACAGGAAGGCTGGGGAGAACCTGTTTAGAAAGGCCTGCAGCAACAGGACAAGGGGCAATGGCTTCAAGCTAGCACTGGAACAGGTTGCCCAGGGAGGTGGTTGAGGCCCCATCCCTGGAGATATTCAAGGAGAGGCTCGATGAGGCCCTGGGCAACCTGGTCTAGTTGGGGGTGTCCCTGCTGACTGCGGGGAGGTCGGACTAGATGACCTTTGGAGGTCCCTTCCGGTCTGGGCAATTCTATGATTCTATGATAAGGTGGCAAAGATAGGTCAATATATATCTATATTTACTCTCATATAAGGATACATATGAGCATCTGTTAACAGACAGACAGTTAACTGACAGGCAGACAGATGCCTCATTTCATGAACAAAGCCATCCTAAAGTGTTAGTCTAGGATCTAGAATCTCTAGAGTGTATTTAATACAGAGAGAAAATACACCTCTGAAGACCTTCAGAGGCAGGTACATATTATTTAGTTTAGCTGCCCACCTCTCTCTACCGAATATGTGAGAAACCGAGAGAAAACATTACCTATTTGTTCTGTTTGTATCCAGTTCGCCTCTTTTAGGCCAAGGCATCCAAGCTCAACAGACTTCAAAAAGAGGCAGGTGGCAAACGTGGCAATGCCCACGACACCTGCTGCCCTCTGGACACACCACAAGCAGCCCCTTCACGCTTTCTGTGTAAGTGCTGAGATGCCTGTCCAGTTGCCAAAGCAGCAGGAGAGGCAATGGCACTCTCAGCTGCACGGCCCAGCCGCAGCTATACATTAAGGGAATGCTTAAAGAATTGCTGGTGAATGCCAAGGCAGAGACCCTGTCATACGGTAATTCAGACTGGAAAGGACATCTGGGAAGTCACTAGTGAAAACTCCTGCTCAAAGCAGGGTCAAAACTGAATTCAGACCAGGTATAATGTCTTATTATGTTCCTAGAGTTCAAAATCCAAAATTTTCAAGCAGTCCTGAAACCATCTGTCTACGGGGAGAAAGTATCATCACTAGGCTGCAGAGGCAGGCTCCTTTCTTGGTGTCAGTGCCTCTTGAATTCCTTTCTACACTCTAAAACAGCATTAGTGAAAGAGTGAGAAGTGTGTATATCCCACACTAGACTCTGAATTGGTGTTTGGGGCACTCTCCTGGACCGGCAGGAGACACAATTTGAATCTTTACAAGCCGAAAAGGGTCTAGAACACGCACCCTGAATATCTGCTCAAGATTGCACCCGAGGGAAGCACAACCATTTCTCCTCAAAAGTACATGCATATCCCTGCCTTTCAGGGAGCACTCGCCTAGAGAGAAGATATACACCACATGCACTCTGAAAACACACCTCTGACTGAGCTCATCAGGACATAAAAGCAACAGAATTGTAGTTTCTGGATCCTGATTTCACATAAGTTCCCTTAAATGTTACTTAAATACCGTTCTTATGAAGATTGGATAATCCTGGAATTGCACAAGTATGTTACCTAGATACCTAAGGGTTTTTTTGTGTGTTGCTGCTTTATTTTTTTCTAGGGGTGGAGGAAAGGAGGTGGTGTTAAAACACCAAAGAAAAGAGGACAGCCCTCACTTCAGAAAAGTACAGCTGGTTACTGAGTTCTACAGAGTCTACAGCCCTAGGTCAGCAAAGCAGTACAACATATGATACTATCATGGTGCAAAAAAGAGAACTAATATACAGAAGTTGGAAGAAGAAAAAAGGCAGAAGAGAGGGAGGGAGAGATTTCTTCACACATTTTACCAATGATTTCCTGACGATGACACCCATTGACAGCTGTGTTAGGCAGGCTAAATGGCAGTACTCCCAGAAAGCAGGGAGCAACTACAACTTGTTTACAGCATTAGATTTCAAAAAAAAGAAGGCTTTAGGACCCCAGAGTCAACTTTGCTGCCCATTTTATGACCCCAGGCAGTTGGTTTAGTTCTGCTAATTTTTTTTAGGAACTTGAAAGCTTACCAAACTAGATCCCAAAAATGAACCTGAAAAGCAAACTACCCAAATATTTCTATTAATAAAAAGACACAGAACATGGCAGGCAGAAATACTAGAGTAATAAAATCTCTCTTTTGTAGCACTCCAGGCAATATTTTTGCATTTTAGTATCATGCAAATTAAAGAGGTTCAAGAGAAACGCCAAGTACTGGTTTACAATTCAAATCAAAGCATCTTACTAAAATGGTTTCTTACTTTTTCTCAAATATGTATTTTTAACAGTCACAAATTCCAAAAGCAATTCTAATTACCTGCATGATTTAATACTCCTTTGAAAGCATAAAAGCATAGGGAGAAACTAAAAATTAACAGATAACCTTTATTACATGCACAAACTAATCAAAGATGAAGATCAAGAAAAGTATGAACAAGTTTGGAAACAAAAAGCAGAAAGCCTTACCTTGAAAAGCAGCTGCATTACGAGATATTAAGAATTTTAACATAGCGCTTGATGTTTGAAGCACCTGCTGTATATCTTGCTTCGCTGCAGTCTGATATCTTTCTTCCATCTTTTTGGTACAACATGTTGGATTTTTAGAAGTACAAACCTGGAGATCAACCCCTAGAGAAAGAGATAATTACATTGATTACTACAAAACAGAAGTACACAATGAACAAATACCTAGAAAACAGCTTTTGTTAAACAAAAAATAGAAGGGGAGACTAACTAAAATTATGTAGGAAGAAAATTACAGAATCAGCCCAACTAGAACTTAACCTGGTTTTGAATGTTAAGAACAATAAAAAGAGTTTCTATAAATACATTAGTAATAAAAGGAGGAGTAAGGAGAATCTCTATCCTTTATTAGATGAAGGCAGTAACATGGTGACAAAGGATGATAGAGAAGGCTGAGGTACTTAATCGCACCTTTGCCTCAGTCTTTAGTAGTAGAGTTGGTTATTCCCGGAGTACCCAGACTCCTGAGCTAGTAAACAGGGGCAGGGAGCAGAGTGAAGTCCCCGCAGTCCAAAGGGAGATAGTGAGGGACCTGCTCCAACACCTGGACGTATACAAGTCTATAAGGCCAGATGGGATCCACCCAAGGGTGCTGAGGGAGCTAGCAGAAGTGCTCACCAAGTCACTTTCCATCATTTACCAGCAGTCCTGGCAAACCAGGGAGGCCCCAGTTGAAAGGCATCAAGCAAAGATGATGCCCATCCACGAGAAGGGCTGGAATTATGACCTGGGTAACTACAGGCCTGACATTCTGTGCCTGGAAAGATCACAGAACAGATCATCCTGAGTGTGGCACATGAAGGACAACCAGGCAATCAGGCCCAGTCAACATGGGTTCATGAAAGGCAGGTCCTGCTTGACAAACCTGATCTCCTTCTACAACAGTGACCTGCTTGGTGGATGACGGAAAGGCTGTGGATGTTGTTTACTTGGACTTCATTAAGGCCTTTAACATCATTTCCCACAGCATTCTCCTGGAGAAAGCCGCTGCTCATGGCTTGGATGGGAGTACTCTCTGCTGGGTAAAAAACTGGCTGGAGGGCTGGGCCCAGAGAGTGGTGGTGAATGGGGTTAAATCCAGTTGGCAGCTGGTCATGAGTGGTGTCCCACAGGGCTCAGTACTGAGGCCAGTTCTCTTAAATATCTTTGTCAACGATCTGGATAAGGGGATCGAGTGCACCCTCAGTAAGTCTGCAGAGGACACCAAGTTGGGTGGGAGTGTCGACCTGCTGGAGGGTAGAGAGGCTCTGCAGAGGGATATGGACAGGTTAGATGGATGGGCTGAGGCCAGTGGTCTGAGGTTCAACAAAGCCAAGTGCTGGGTCCTGTACTAGGATTTACAACTCCATGCAGTATTACAAGCTTGTGGAAGACATTAAGGCCTTTAACATCATTTCCCACAGCATTCTCCTGGAGAAAGCCGCTGCTCATGGCTTGGATGGGAGTACTCTCTGCTGGGTAAAAAACTGGCTGGAGGGCTGGGCCCAGAGAGTGGTGGTGAATGGGGTTAAATCCAGTTGGCAGCTGGTCATGAGTGGTGTCCCACAGGGCTCAGTACTGAGGCCAGTTCTCTTAAATATCTTTGTCAACGATCTGGATAAGGGGATCGAGTGCACCCTCAGTAAGTCTGCAGAGGACACCAAGTTGGGTGGGAGTGTCGACCTGCTGGAGGGTAGAGAGGCTCTGCAGAGGGATATGGACAGGTTAGATGGATGGGCTGAGGCCAGTGGTCTGAGGTTCAACAAAGCCAAGTGCTGGGTCCTGTACTAGGATTTACAACTCCATGCAGTATTACAAGCTTGTGGAAGAGTGGCTGGAGAGCTGCCTGGCAGAGAAGGACCTGGTGGTGTTGGTTGACAGGCGGCTTAACATGAGCCAGCAATGTGCCCAGGTGGCCAAAAAGGCCAACAGCATCTTGGCCTGTATCAGGGCCAGCGTGGTGAGTAGGACTAGAGAAGTGATTGTCCCCCTGTACTCAGCACTGGTGAGGCCCCATCTTGAGTACTGTGTACAGTTCTGGGCTCCTCTCTACAAGGACAAATATCTTTGTCAACGATCTGGATAAGGGGATCGAGTGCACCCTCAGTAAGTCTGCAGAGGACACCAAGTTGGGTGGGAGTGTCGACCTGCTGGAGGGTAGAGAGGCTCTGCAGAGGGATATGGACAGGTTAGATGGATGGGCTGAGGCCAGTGGTCTGAGGTTCAACAAAGCCAAGTGCTGGGTCCTGTACTAGGATTTACAACTCCATGCAGTATTACAAGCTTGTGGAAGAGTGGCTGGAGAGCTGCCTGGCAGAGAAGGACCTGGTGGTGTTGGTTGACAGGTGGCTTAACATGAGCCAGCAGTGTGCCCAGGTGGCCAAAAAGGCCAACAGCATCTTGGCCTGTATCAGGGCCAGCGTGGTGAGTAGGACTAGAGAAGTGATTGTCCCCCTGTACTCAGCACTGGTGAGGCCCCATCTTGAGTACTGTGTACAGTTCTGGGCTCCTCTCTACAAGGACATTGAGCTGCTGGAATGTGTCCAGAAAAGGGCAACAAAGCTGATGAGGGGTCTGGAGTACAAGTCTTATGAGGAGCAGCTGAGGGAAGTGGGGTGGTTTAGCCTGGAGAAAAGCAGGCGGAGCGGAGACCATTTTGCTCTCTACAACACTGTTGCTCAAGAACTGATACAATTCCATATTTATGAAGACAAAAGTTTGACTCCATGCACAAACAAGAATAGTTTACTGCTCATGGTAAAAATGCGTGCCTTGAAATAAATCCGTTTCACAGACATAAGCAGCAGTACGTATCTTTATATTAAAGGAAAAGCAGTAGATACTTTAAGAAATCCTACTACTACACACAGTTCACAAATCTGAGATTGCCTTCATGGTAGCATGCAACATTAAGAGCGTAACCTCTGGATGTGAAAATGAACTAAGGCAAGTGAAATCCCTGTAAATCTATTTGAAGTGGTTTCCAGTAGCAGTTTAACACACACTGATTAGTACATCCACAAACCATAGTCCAGGAAGTTGAACACCTTCATTATCACAACCAAAAGTTCAAACTCTATTCTAATGCAGGTATCAATCACTGAACCACAAGTATTAAGAATCCTAAGTGTTACACTATTGCTACAAGATATCTTTTTCCTCATACAGCTTGATGTTTTTGAAGGCCTCATAATGTCCTCATAATTTATCTAAAAATAGAATTTCCATGTTCTTCAGTATGTATATTTTCACAACTTACAAACTAAATAATTTCTCCTGACCAGCTGCCTTTGCAAATCTCTTGCCATGCGAAAACTTTAATATTCCATCCTCTGACCTTCCAATTCAGCCAAAGAATGAAACTAAAGCTGCAAAATTAAGGTGGTCTATTAAATTACCTATTTATTAGCTCTAGTATTTCTGTTATGCATCCCAAAGAATGTGCATAGTGTCAGAGGCAGCCTTTAAGTTGCTTGCCTCCAAGCAACAGTTAAAAATACAGTTCACAAGTGCTCTACAACCTCTGAATCTATATAGTATCTTATACAGCCTTCCTCTCCTCCATCTCCACTGCATGCCCCATGTTTCCCCAAGCCAGATTTCAATCCTTTGACGACACTGACTCCAACCTCCCAGTCCATAGCAGCTCTCCAAACTGAGGCCTCAGCACTGCTGACCATCCTTACCTCCCTGCAGATTCCCACATTCCCAGTCCCAGACACCACGACCCCAGCCCCAAAATATTGAGGACTCCTCTCATCCCACTCTTCCTCACAAAATAATGGCAATTGCCCTGCAATAGTCCAAATCACAGGCCAGGATGAAACAAAGCAGACGCAGAAACTGCTACATCCCATAAGAGCAATATAATGCAGATTCACCGCTCTGGGTGGGGGTCTCTCTGCAGAGGGCAATTGCTGCAGTGCAGCTAAAAGTAAAAAGTGGGAAGGTGCAGCACCAAGTCACAGGATGCCAAGCAACCACTTCAGATGCTTGTGCTTAATAAGGCTGGCCACATCCTAGGATTCCAAAACAGGCAAAGCTGAAACTTGAACAAAAACTTGAAAGTTTGTTTCTCTGCAGCCTACCGCTGTAGCTCTTAGGACACTGGTTTAAAACTTACATCTTTTTATCAGGGCAGTGGTGATGGCTTAAGCAAAATTTGATTCTGGAAAGAGACAGCAGGTTACTCAAGGGAATGGGTCAGGAGAGCAGATTAGCAATGCATGACTCAAATCAATAAATGTAAGGCTTAAAGCTATGGTAATAGTACCTATTCCAGAGGCGAGTTGTGCAGCATGTATATAAAACACATATAACTTCAGCTGCAATTACTCTAAGGGAAAACACGTCTAAGTTGACATTGTTTAAGGAACTAAAACACTGCAAGTTTCTATTAATCCTTTTAAATCCTCTTGCTCGTGATTAGATACGTTTGCTATCACACTGAATACTAATTAATTTAAATATTAGCAACACTAAGTGAAATTTTATTTTTTTTTTTTAAAAAGCAAGTAGAAAAATGGACTAATGTAGCACCCACCTACAAACAAATTAAAGAAATGATAAATAAGCCTGCAGCAATATTTACTCATCATACCAGAAAGGTCTATCCACAGGTATGACATGCAGTTCTCTCTCCCATTTTATTTTTTTTATTCTCAAGGAGTTTATCACACAAAGAATATCACGGTACAAGACAAGCCAAGGTATAGTCTGTAGTATGCCAGCAGCAATACACCTGACAAACATCAAGAGAAAAAATGTTTATACTGATAGCAATATTCACAGTATTGCATTACAACATCCTTTTTTCCTTTTTGGCTACTAAATATTATTTTCTACTTGTAACAAAAACCAACTCACTACTGTTGAAAAAAAGGCAGGAATGCCTATCTAGTCACGTTACACACTGTAAAAGAGAGGAACCATGTTATTAAGTTGTTTGGATACATTTCAATGCCATACCAATTTCAGACCTACTGTATTCCTTATTCCCCTATATATGTTCTTTAGTTTCTTTTCTGAAAAGGTAGGGTTTTATTTATATTTGCTTATTTAAAAGTAATCCTCTACTTATTTATTTTTTTCATTATTTGTGCATATGATTTCTTTTTACTAACCTT